CGCTGACAAAAAAACATGCATTAGTTTGCTTGTAGTAACACACTAATATTGTTTTGTTTCTCATCTTTCTTCTTCTGAACTTGACAGTTGCAATTCTTGCAGCACCAAATGCAGCAGCAGCAAATGGCTATGGGAGCAGCAGCTCCTCAGGTGGGAGTGCCACGGCAACATACCGCCAGCCAACCAAGAAGTAAGAGGAAGAGGAGCGTGCCACAGCCCCTGCCTAAGTCGTGACAGACTAAAATCACACTAAAAAAAAACAACCCTACCCCCAGCCACACAAGGACGTGAATGATCCATACTGTGTATTTTGTCTGCCTCACTGTGGAGACTGCAGACAGAAAAAAAACTTTTTTCTTTTCTGTGTCTTTTTCTAGCTGACATATTTGTATGTAATGGTTGTCAGATGTTTTGGAGAACCAAAACTGTGTCCACCATAGAGGTTTTTTAGAACAGGGAGCCCTACACTTAAAGAACCGTGATATTTTTTGAGATGAAACCTAAAAGGATGGTTCTCATAGGTAGCGGGCTTTCACAATAACACACGGCCTCCTTCAGGAAGAGTTTTCTCTATGTTGGGGTGGGGGCCCAGTGGACTGAGAGGATCATGAATGCACATTCTCCGAGGATTCCTCATGAGCCTGCCTCTGCTTGGTTGACCGCGGTAGAAACTGCCCTTTAAGCACGGATCCCAGCTGAGCTTATTGACACCAAATCCTCCGTAGAACCATTACATGTGAAAATGCAAATCTGATCTTGGAGCAGTGCCTGGGGGCAGCTCTCTACCTCTCAGTCTGTTGGAAGTCTTTCTTCTCTCGGCACAGGGCTCAACCCGGGGACTCAAGATCAACATGCAAGACGGTGTACCTGCTTTTGTACAGCACATTTTGAAAAGGCATTTCCTTTTAATGAGTTCAGGAGCCATGAGCGTAATTCTTACGAGACATCAACAGTGTGTGTGTGTGTGCGTGTGAGACATTTCTGGACACTGAGAAATAATTTTTTAAGCAGTCTTTGTCAGCAGTTTTATTGTTATTAAAAAAAGAATATATATTGACAGTGGAAAATACAGCTTTTAGATAAAAAAGCAATGTTTGAGGCTCTTTATTTTGCTGTCTTCACACTATGTATGACTTTGTTAACGAGTTTCTGGATCTCTCTCTGTCGCACTCTTGCTCTGCTGATGCACTCCTGCAGCTTCTCTCCAGACAGTGATGTCCCACCTGAGCCAGAAGGAAAGATTGTTAGTAGGGTTGTATGTTTGATTGTTTTTTAACATTCAACCTCATAGAACAGTTTATACGATATGTTTACCTGCCCGCATTCTGCAGGAGCTCCAGGACTTAATGCTGGAGCAGCATAGGTCGACTTTGTCCCACTTTACTCAGATCTTAAAGCTAGATTCAGCTAAATGATGCTGTCTACACTGATTTTCAGTTGAGGTAAAACATCAGTAATATGGTTCTGTTTAAATAAAATAGCAGCTTTTTAATGTGTATTAGCTGCTATTTAACCTCTGATTTAGAGTTTCTTTTCATATTCACTAAAAATAATGCTGAGCTGCATAACAAGATTAACTTGTCTAATTTTAGAACTCGAAATACAACCTTTGTGTTTAACAAAAGAGTAGATCAGCTTTGTCAGCAGTTTTGAAAATGGTAAGTTCTTAATGAGGATTCACACAGAGTATTAGCTACAAAGGGAGAGGCAAATCATTACAAACTGTTTCCGACCTGGTTTGTGTACAGCGCAGAGCCTATCTTCCTCATCTGTCACCACAGTGAGCTGAGCGGTCGACAGACTCTCCTCCTCGGCTGTGGGGTCTACAATCATTATGGAGCTGCACAGGGAGCAGGCCGGATTACAAAAGATGCACCTCACACTTAACGTACACTGAATATTGCCATTTCGTTCACTTACTCATCGAAGACACAAAAAGAGGCGCCGACTGGATGTTTGTGGATATGCAGCCCTCGTCTCTTTTCTAAATTCACCTCTGGTGTACACATCTCCGTGCTGACGGTGACCTCTGGGAGTTGTGCTGTGGGGAACAGGGCAACTGTATTATTTTTTATTAATTTACTAATAAAGCATTTTATGAAAAAGATCTCTTTGAGGCCAAGGCCATAAAGAATTAGTTCATTAAAAGCGGGAGAGTTATGTAAGATAGTTATGTGCATGAGACTTAGTATACTGCAATAAACAGAAATACGAAATTACTGATAATGAGAAAAATACTATACATACAGTTAAAAAGTTAAAGAAGAGTTACATTTACAGTGAAACCGTTTATGTTTTTACAGCACATACTGTTCTTCAGGGCAGCCAGCAGGGCAATGATACAAGCATCCAACAGGTTCCCATCATAGTCCAGACATATCATGTCACAGTAGAGCACCCAGCAGAGCTGCAACCAGAATCAGCAGAATCAGGACCAGTGACCCAACCCAACAATCACAACTTAACAGCAATGTATGAGGGATTATTCTGGATTTACCTTTCCTCTGTCAACACACAAGTCCTCTGTTTGTATCACTTCAGAGCTGCAATCCCCACATAAAAAAAATTAAGAGAGTTAAGACACATCCGACGCTGCTGAGAAATTAAAACAAAACAGAATGTGTGTATTAAAGCCTGTCACACCTTTCAATTACATCGGCGACAAACTGGCTGGCAGCCTGTGCCTGTTCTCCAGGAGGGCCTGGCCGAAACCGAGAGGAACACAGAGGCGGCAGGTCCACGTTGGGCACTAACAAGGACACGAAGTGCTGCAGTCAGTGTGTGTTTATTTATTTGGACCCCCATTAGCTGCTGTATCACAGAAGTATACTAGTATAAGTAGTAATACTTTGAATATACTATCTACTCAAGTTGAGGCACACAAGGTGAAAATGATTGGAAATTGTCAATTCTGAGATTTCACTATATGTATATAAAATATTACAATTATCCAATTTTTATTCCAGACTTCTATACCTGACCAAACACAGAACATATTGATTAGGGGCACCTTTGCACTGTACTTACCGATATAACCTTTACCAGGTGCCTCCACTGTAGGGTTTGTCAGCTCCTGTAGATTAAGAAACACAAGAAATGAGTGAACGTTTGTTTACCTGGTCGGAGTTCAGTTAAATAAGGTTTTCTGAACTACTGTGTTTATGATCATTTACCGCTTTGATCCCACAGATGACCGTGGTGTTTCCAACCTTCACCAGGGCCGAGCCATCTGCTGTGGATATGGACCCTGAACAGAGCAGTCAGACAGAGAAAATGAGCCCGTGTGGACTAAAGACAAACACAGTGATACATTTTTATACAGATAAATCTGTGAATAAGAATTAGTGCTGTGTCTCACCTATGTTCACTGTTGTGGGTCTGAATTCTGACAGCTCCCGTCCATCAGGTCGACAGTTTTCTTTCTGAAAAGTTTGAATGTTGGATGATTATTTTTAACTGCTGACGCTGACATGAGTAATAGGCAGGGAATCACAACCAGTCAGCTTTGGGCTGAATGTGAACTGTTTTCATGACTGACCAGAAAGCTCCTGTGGTACTCCAGGGGCTCAGCAGTCCTGCAAGTGTACAAGTTTGCACGGAATGAAGTCAGGGGTAGATAGTTATTGGCTTACAGAGACTGATACACCTAAATATATTTAGGCTGCAGAGACAGAACTACTTATTCTCCTGTAAGTCAGAACCCGGCTAAGTTATGTGACAATGACAATGACAACAGGACAGCGAGAAATTCCTCATTAAATTGGCTAGTTAGTGCTTCTGATGTGTCCTAGCTAACTATTCAGCAGTCAGGCTTAAGTAAACAAAACATATCAAGTACAGCACTGATGAGCAGAACAGGACACAACTCTACGACAGATCTGACTGAAGTGCTGTTTAAGGTATCCATGCGAATCCTTTACGTTTCTAAAAGCCGTCAATGGTCATATCTAATCTGACGCTACTTATGTATTTATTTCATGGCTGAGAATAAAACACACAAAACGTATTATTTTCGGTGTAATAGCTACAGTCCAATAACTCTTACTTGAACCCAGCCGCCATGATGTTTTGGTTAACCACGTGGGTTTAGGGTACATACTACGGTAGCCGATAGGAGTGAATATGCCGGGGATCAAATATGAGATAAACTCCTACGTAATTTTTCCAGTTTCTACAGGCAGACTCCTTTACGATAGTTTCTTATTTATTAATATTAATTAATTAATTTCGTATGGTATAGCCTATATATCTAGTTTAAGAATCAATCAGTTTTGTATGGCACCAAAATATTATATTTTCTTGGCATCCCAATTGCTGAAATATACTTATTACTGTACTGTATAATGCAATGCCATCAGGTTTTATAACGCTTCAGCAATTAGTAATTATTCATTAGCAAGTATGTATAAATGTGAACTTTTTTTTGGATCGATGTGGAACTTAGGTTCACTTACACAAAAGAGACGCATTGTTCCTTTTATCAAATAAAATAATATTGACAGAAGGTATGTTCTTCTTATTTTGCCACATTTTGTTTTACCCATAAAATGCGAACGGTCTTGAAAACCCAACATATTCCTCATCATTTGTTATTTGAATGGCTTTGTACATATAAATAATTTGTTAAAAACAAATCAATACTAACCTACCTAAAATAACAATTCAAACAATTTATTCATTGTCCAAAATATTTGGATAAAGCAGTTATGGAGCAGTTGTATGACAGTGATGTTGTGGATCTGATTGATGAGAATGCGAACATTTAATTCCGCAATTTGGGTTTAAAATCATTATGTTTCATCTATCAAGGTGTAATACGTTGTCTCTATTTTATTATAGTTCATAGTTAGCCTGTATAATACGAAGAAGACCTCACTAACATTATTAATCACCGTTGAGTTCTTGCACTTATTCCCACCCTTGTCCACTAGATGGCAGTGTGCGCGTGGCTGCAGGCTGTCACGGGGCTGCTCGGTGTTGTCTTGCCTCAAACTGATGATGTGTCACTTCCGCGTCGGCGTTGTGTTCAGTTGTGATTGGAAGTGGGAACTCCCCACAGAGTAATGGAAATATACGGCAATTTATTTAATTCTTCCACCGTCTAAACAATCTCGTAAGCTTGTATTTTCTTGTGTGTCCTGGGAGGTCAGAATACCGGCCACAAAGCACGAAGAGAAGCAAGGGGGGAGCAAGCTAGCTTTTTAGCTAGCCACTTTGACTGGCCTGTCAGTGACTCCAGGGTTAACTTATCTCATGGAAGATGGATTTCCTCTGTGAAATAGTTCAAGCCTTGGTGGCATTGGCAGCTCTAGGTTTCATTGTGGTAAGTAGTTATACTTTACTGTATAACGTTACTGTTGAGTCAATCAGAAATCTGTTTGCTCTCACTGATTGACAGTAATTTACCATTGACAGGCTGTTTTTCCTTTTCTGTGTAACGTTTCGTTCTGTGTATGTAAGAAGTGTTTGAGCAATGTATTCTGCTTAGGCCAGCTGTGAACCTGTAGTCTTATTCATCCTGTATTCCCTTGTTTTTATGATACTTGCTTATCTTTCTGTGTTTGTTGATACATACAAAATTTTAGTTGTTAATCACGAGGAAGTCGTGACTTTAATGCTCAAATGCAGCAGCAAGACTATGCACTTGAAGGTGGGAAACAAAATTCTCATTCTAGCAAACAAACCGTATATACAGATAGTAGACAAAGAAGGAGACCGCACAGTCATTTACATTTTTTTTTTTTTCATTTCAAACTAAGAAGATGATTGGTATTGGTGAATCTGTAGTCTGGAAGTCAGCGGTGGCTGCAGTGTTAAATGCATGTGAGGAGAATCTGGGAGAGAGAGACAGCCCTAAATCATGCTAACAACAAAGACTGCTGTGCCTCTGATCACATCACATAGTAGACTTTGGTGGAAGTTCTGACACGCATATTTAGTTCAGTTAAATACATTCACACAGCTCTGGTCCTTTTTTATATTTGTATTTTTTTTTACATGTGTTAGAAAACTCTAAACTGTACCAGACAGCAGGAGTAACAAGAGTGGCTTTCTCATATTTTCCTTTACAGGTGCTCATAATAGCACACGTCACTGCCGGGATGGTGAAACTGACCCGCCACGAGAAGGAGAAATACTTCTTCACCGCCACAGGAGAGAAGGAGCTTTTCCCCAGCCTGCACGATCCCCATGCCAGGGAGCTCTCTGTGGTGATCCCGGCCTACAACGAGGAGCTTCGAAGTGAGTGAAGGAGGGGGGCACACCCAGGTTTCTGTCAGGAACTTCTGCACAGTAAACTTGTGCAGCGTGTGACTTCACCTGTTGAAGTCACATCAGTTTGCCTCTTTGCTTGAATGCAGGCACAGCAGACTGTAAAACATAATGTTAACCCAGTCGGGAAGTAGCTATGTAATTGCAATACACGGCAAATTTACAGGACACATATAGACTGTATAGGATAGGGTACATTACAAGTCTGTGTTTTCAGGACCTTGACCTTCAGGTTTGTTGCTTCAAAATTCCTCTAGCTTAAAACCAATAAATGCAAAGATTGCTGTTTTTTTGTAATCCCATAATCCTGTTCTCGCAGAGTTAATGTGCACCCGCAGTAGGTTATAGGTGCTTATATGTGTGTTATGGCTGTGTGTCATTACAGTGCCTGTGATGTTGGATGAAGCAATGGAGTACTTGGAAAGCAGACAGGTAAGTGTTCAGCGTCATAGTGGCAATGTGAAACTATATCTGAATCATAATTTTATTGTGGTTTGATGAAAGGGACACAATAAAATAGACTAAAATCAATGATCTACAAAGAGAAGCAGTTTTATTTTCATCTGAAAGGCGAGGTTGTATCAGCTAAGAAAGTTCTTATTTCTGGATCAGTTGTTTTCTAAGAGGCCAGTAGGTGGCAGTATTCAACTTAAAGAGTGCCTATTTTCTCCCTGCAGAAACAGCACCCCTCCTTTACCTATGAGGTCATTGTCGTTGATGATGGCAGCAAAGACAAAACCACAGAGGTGATCTTTTGTTTCGGGGGGGAATATGTTACCAAAAGTTCTATTTTTGCTCAGCTCAATATTTCAAAGTGATACCAAGAGAGCTTTACATTGTGAGTGAACACTGTTGTGATGTCCTGCCAGGTTGCCTTGCAGTACACTAGGAAGTACGGTGCAGATAAGGTGCGGGTTCTGACGCTGGTGAAGAACAGGGGGAAAGGAGGAGCTGTGCGGATGGTGAGACTGGAGATGTCAAACTACAGCATGTCTGAATGCAGCACAAAAGCAACAGTGTGGAATTGACTTTGTGTTGATTTTTGATGTGCCCTCTTTTTCGCTGAAAGGGAACTCTGAGCGCCAGAGGGAAAGTCATTCTGATGGCAGATGCTGACGGAGCCACAAAGTTTTCTGACATTGACAAAGTGGAGGCTGGACTTAATGACCTCAACCCCAAACCGGTGGGGCGTTGCTCGGTTTTTGTTGTCCTGTCTCACACACTTGTATTATGTTAGTGTGTGGCCTTCCTAAACACCACGCCTGTCTGTACATTTAGGAGAATATGGCGATTTCCTGCGGTTCCAGAGCTCACCTGGAGAAAGACTCGGTGGCTCAGGTAATTGTCTGTTTGCCTGTTTTGTCAGCTTAGAGACCAGAGTGTTATAGACGATGTCCGTCTAACCTATAAATAACCACTTTTGTGTCCCTGCCACAGCGATCTATGTTTCGTACATTCCTTATGTATGGCTTTCACTTCCTGGTGTGGTTCTTTTGTGTGAGAGGGATCAAGGACACTCAGTGCGGCTTCAAGCTTTTCACACGTGAGGCTGCACTCAAGACCTTCTCTTCCCTCCATGTAGAGCGATGGTAAGAACTCTCACTCCACCACGGACACTTTATTACTTACCAGTGTAAGTGAAGCGATAAGAGCTGTCATGCGCCTTTGTGTTTAAAGAGTAAACCCGCTGAGCTGTTGTAAAACAATAGTGTTAATTAACAATTAATCTGTATTTTATTTAGCAATCACTCAAGCATTCATCTGTATGATGTTACATATAATACCGTAATAAAATACCGGTATGCTATATAAATAAGACTGCCTTGCCTAAACAGTTGGCAACTTCTGATTTAAATCAGGAAGTATTTAATCCAAAAAATTTAAAATACTACCAATGTGACCAGACATTTGATGCTAGTTTTCAGGACTTGACCAGTTTTAAATACTCAGTACTTGGACTCATTTAGGTCAGTACCAAATACCCAGCCCGAGTGACTACACCACTATGTTTTTTCTTTAGTTTTTTTTAAAGCTGTTGAACATCTGTTGTGCACTTATCTTTCTTCTCACAGGGCTTTTGATGTGGAGCTCCTGTATATTGCCCAGCGTTTTAAAATCCCCATAGCAGAGGTAGCAGTCAACTGGACTGAAATAGAAGGTAGGTTTTTCATGTGTCCTCCCACTGGGCCACCTATCTGTAGTTCTATTAATATCTCGGTTGGATGTGTTTGCAAGTCTGTGATTAGCTGTTTAGATTTTTTGTTTTTGTTTCTTTTGTTTTTTTCTTTGTGTTTTGACTGACACATTTACTGTTTTGAGTGTTGCTTTCCTGTCGATGTTTCAGACAATTTATGAAACTATAAAATATTTTCAACTACTTACCTAAGCCGCCTTAGTACTGCTGTGATGAAGATTTTTCTGGAGTTATTACACGGCTTGTCAGCAGTAAATGTCAGCAAATTGGCATATTTCCATTACCTGTCCTATAAAAGTATCATTTGAGGTATTAAGTGCCTGTGCGTTTGCTCTGCCAGGGTCTAAGCTGGTCCCGTTTTGGAGCTGGCTGCAGATGGGAGTGGACTTGATTTTCATCCGCCTGCGCTATATCACCGGAGCCTGGAAGCTACAGTTGCCGCAAAAGACTGACTAGCCAATCAGACAAGCCCCAGTGTCGTAGAGACAGTCTATGATGGGGCCATCAAACCTTTGGATGAGGTGGGATTAACAACTGTGTCCATCATTCACTGTAATCAACCACACAGAACAAAGTACAGCACGTCACATCCTTCTGCTTTCCAGACGCCATTGGATGTGAAATAATGACACAGTTGCGAGTACTTTGTGGTTCTGCCTTATTTTTTAATACGGATTTTGGCTTGTGATGGCCACCGTTACATGCACTCTTCTGTTGCCACGGCTTACAGAACATCTGTATGACTGATCCGTGTAATAAGTTACTTAATGTTTATTTTATGGCCAATCATCTGTAAGAGAGAAATGTGGAGGATGCATTTATCTGTGTGTCATGGTTCTGACAGATTAAATGAATGTTAAGATATGAGCTTTTCAAAAATGAGGAAACAGGACCATGGGTTGGTGCGCTGGATGACTTGAACAGAAATAAATAAATAAATAAATGTCTGAATTCTTATTTGATAATCGTCATAAGCCTACTAACAGCTAAAACAATTAGTAGATTAACAGATTATTTGATCAACAGAATTTTTTTTCCAAGCAAAAATGTCAAACATTTGCTGATGGTTGGTCAGACAAAATAAGTTATTTGATGTTGTCCCCTTGAGCCCCGCTGCAGAGCTGGACCAGTTAAAGATGAGCTACAGGAAGATTTGACATCTTTCCCCCAAATCTTTAAGCTGAAGGAGTTACTTGCAATGTTACTTGTTTATAATACAAAAAAGGAGGACTGAATCAGCAGAGGGCAATACAATTAAGAGTAATCAAAAGAGTTTTTACTCAGTTATTATCATAGTTAATTAGTATAATAGTAGTATTCTATAGTATTCCGATCTTCTATCAGTCAGCTTCCTGTGTCTTTGGAGTCACACACAAAAGCTCACCCTGCTAATTTCATTTTTCTTGAACTGCTTGAAATCTCACTGCAAAATTGAACAGAGGGCGCACACTGTGACTGTGCATGACTACTTCCATCTTATGTCACTGTTTCCCAAATTGGGGACCAGGGTCTCTGTCAGGCATCCTGCAGATTTCCTAGAAAAGAGATCTGACTCCACTTACAGTTTATTAAATTTGGTATAAAATTTGATTTAACAGCTAAAATCCTCAGATGAAGTTAGACAGGATCAGCTATATGAAATTTTTGTGGGAATAGTGGGGGTGCATTGTCATGCGTTTAGCCTTTCCTAGACATGAAAGAGAGCGGGAAACTCTACATTATTCCCTGCCAGTGTCATCCCTTCGCCTGTCTCCTAAACATCATGTGGACATCTTCTTGGAAAGCGTCCAGCACGCGTTTTTGCGGTCTGAGCAAATTAAGTTCTTCATAGTGCTGTGTTCTTATGCAAGCCTGAGGTCTAGGGTTCGCGCTGATGCAGATGCCTCTGGGGCCTCCCAGAGCCACGGGGAGCACATCCTGTTTGTGACCTGCCCGTCTGTCTGCCTGCCCTCTGCAACCAGACAAGACACAGAGAGAGAGCCAATGAATCATTATCTGGCTGCAATTTTCTGGTTTCCTGGCCCCAGGAGTCAGCTCTTCAGTCAGTGGAAAGGCAACGAGTAAAAGAGTAATGTGAGGAATGTATTTGTCATGAGTCATGTTCATCTCAAGTCATACCTTCACTGTGAGGAGGGTGTTTTATTTTATCTTCTGTGTGATGCCAAAAAAGGTGACTGTAAATTGTAAGATTTGAACCCTCTTAGCACATGTATGTGCTATGACTCCCAACATATTGTCCACAGGTTTAGTAGAGAACCACACTAAAACAGCATAAATCCGTAATTACTTGGCCGGTTTCTGGTTGTGCTCATTTCTAAATCTTGAACAAACAGCTTGTTTTACACTGGTTCTCGCTGCTTCACTAGGGGTCCACGGACCAGACTTTGGACATCACGTGCTTTGCTTGACCACTACCTATTTGTGGCACACCGGCAGCTTGTCCTGGCGGTGCATTTTGATGATGCACCTGGTGGGTTTGGGGCTGGTGGATCATGTGTTGTTTTTTTTTACAAGATCCCCAGAGTGGTTTCACTTCGTGTTGGGAGTATTGTTACGTTCCGCAGCAGTTGCTGTAAACTGAAAATGTCAAACTTGTAGACTCACTGTCGCCAGCCGGGCTTGCGTCATTAACTGGACCAGTCATGGCACTCCCAATGAAGGATCGTGTCCATCCGCAATGAGAAATACCTCTGTGTGGCTCCCGACAATGATGAAACAACTTCGGTTTTAAGAGGGGGGCGACGAAACTTGATTTCACAGCATGATTGAATTTGCGGTGAAGGGCGGCGGATAGTCGCTCCTCCAGTCAAGTTTCACTACATATTTTAGGCTACAGGTGCAGTGTATGTTTGTGCGTGCGCGCGCGTGCACATGAAAGTAATGATAGCCGAAATAGTTATTAAGTGGCAGTATTTTACTAGGTCCCATTGGAATTGCTTTATAGGCTAACTTCACTCGCGAACAGGCCTATAAGCCTAAAAGATAAGCAGTCATATTATCTAAACTAATTTAAACATATGCTCCCAGCACCTATAATCCAGGAGACACACCACTGGCAAACAGATGAAGCCTCATTAAATGGGCGCACGTCGCTTCCATCATTATTGCCGCCTTGTTAATTACTCTTAATTTATTTATATTATTATTTATTATACTATCTGTAGGCTACAGTGTACTGTTGGCCTATATGAACAAACAAACAACAAAGTATTAATAAAAGAATTCTATGATGGAATTACCAAATTTTTTTACCAAAGGACCTACCACAGGCTTTTAACTTTATGGATGATAGCCTACAGGTAAACACAGACACACTGTAAAACACTATTAACATATCAGACGACTACATCATTTGTCTTTCAGAGATGTCCGACCATTCACGAGAATAGTCTGGAAAAGAAGAACAGGTGTGATTGTTTTTCTTCCGTTAGTTAGAGCCAACTACCCTATGCCTGGCTGGGAGAGACCAGGGGATGGCTCAGGTGGGACGCATACACGGGCACGCGCGTACACGCATGCTGCTGCTGCGGTGCCTGATTCTGAAATCCCAGAAATCCTGGGAAAGTTCCAGGAGGGGGAAGGCGGAGGGATCTTACATGCAGGCGCTGCGGTTCCAGCCAGGCTGACGCCGCCGAGGTTGTGTGGCGCTAGACTGGGGTTGCTGGAGGAGTGGAGGCTCCGGGCTCTTCAGACCTGCGTCAGCGAAGCAGCAGACTGCAGGAACTGCACCGGAAGATGGTGTGGCTGTACCTTCACAATAAAAGCGGAAATTCAAACATTTGTAGTTGACCCATGAGCGATGACCCACATGACCGTTTTAGTAAAATATTACAGTGGTTAATTATCCATCCATCCATCCATGCTCAACCGCTTATCCTGCATACAGGGTCGGGGGGGGGGCCAATCCCAGCTGACATTGGTGCGCAAGGCGGGGTACACCCTGGACAGGTCGCCAGTCCATGGCAGGGCCACACATAGATGAACAACCACTCACGCTCACACCTAAGGACAATTCAGGGTCGCCAATTAGTGGTTAATTATATATGAGTTAATTATTAAAGTTATTTAAAAACAGAATACTGAAGCGAATTATATTTGAAACGGTTATTTTCCATTTTGTTCAAAATGGATCAAAATAGTTATTCTACCATTTTTACAAAAATATATAGCCTACTGCATAATTTATATGCAAAAATAGCAATAATCATAACTACGTAATTAAAACATATATATATAAATTATGAAAACAAATTGTCAGTTTATTATTTTGGTTATAATTAGCTATTGATACATCTTAAATCATTCTCTAGATTCCAAATTACCTTAGTGTTTTGCAAAACCGGGAGTTTCTATATAACAGAAGTTCAATAGTTAACTTAGTTTCTTCAGTACAAAATGTTTTTGAACATATGAAGCTAAATTTGGCCAACACCATTAGTGGGTGTAGCTCATGTTAAATGTAGAATCACCATTGTGTCCCTGAGCAAGACACTTAACCCCTAGTCACTCCAGAGGCGTGTGACCTCTGACATATATAGCAATTGTAAGTCGCTTTGGATAAAAGCGTCAGCTAAATGAATAAATTTAAATGTCATAGGCTAATAACATCAATTGAATTTATGACTTGAGCATCTCAAACTAAAGGGATAGTAAGTGGTTGTAATCCAATTGTTACATTCAGCAAGTATTTACTCACGGTTTGGTCGCTCTCCGTTTTGTGTATGCTCTGGAAAAAAAAATCAGGTTTTCCTACACAGCTCTGGCTCTGTAAATGGAAAACAAAGAAAGTGGGGTGGACCTTGCCACACAACATTGTTCCAGCCAATCAATAACAGGTGGCGTTAGTGCTTGTGCACAGGAGTGATGAGGGGAGAGGGGCAGTGGGAGAGAGGGTTCTATACACCGGCACATTCGAAGTGCTGAAGGAGAGATAGCGAGAAACAGCCCAAAAGGGAAACGTTCTGAAGAGTACAAACAGGGAGCAGTGAAGGGATGGGTTTATTTGTTCAGTTTAGTTTAAATATCAACAACCCTTCTGCAGAATCACTTATTCTCTCTTTAAGTAGCAGACTGACACCTTGCAACACACGTTTTGTCAACAATGCTTTTATTTTGAAACTGGCAACTGGATGCAAGTTTTATTGATGCTGACTTGACACTTCAATTTCTACACACGCTCACAGACACACACACACACACACACACACACACACACACACAGAGAACACACCTTCGCTGTCTTACTGGCCTGAACTTCTACAGACAGTGAAGCCTGCACACGCACACGGCTGTCTGCGGTGCACTTGTTATCACAACAGAGGTAAGAAAATAAACACATTCTGTTTGTTTCCAGGAATTGTAAATAGCTAAAAATGTCATATGTTCTGGATCTTTTGTCCAGTTAAATATTTAAGATAGTTGTTGGTAGTTAGACCTAACCATGGCTGTCGGGACAACTTTCTGTGGATTAAATATGCTTCTGTTATTATCATTTAGCCTATTGCCATGACTGGGTTTGGACAAATATAATGTTATAGCTGAGTGTAGATCAGTAATCAACAGATAGGCCTAAGTCTAATATTTTTTAAAATGTAGTTATGGTTCTCTTAGTATTTGATTGAGTGGTTGATCTTAAGTTCATTGTGATGTGTTATCAAAGTATGACTTTGGGTGCCAAGCTTCTGATCACTTAGCGTATTGTAGGTAGCTACTGTCCGTCAAGATGTGCGTTTATATTTTAGGACAGAACCTGGATTCTGTAGCGGCAATAGGACTCGTTGTGGAAGTAGTAAAAGGAAGCTGGCGTGTTTACTTTTTTTGGAAGGGGTGTCCTGGTGATAAAGCACAAGGCAATTAGCCTATCTGAGCCTGCAGACTGAGTGACGCCAGACTCCATAAAGCAGCAGCGGTAGACTTGATGCCGCATTGAGCTCGTGCGCTTTTGCTGTCATTGTAAACCCCAGCTGTCTATTTGTCTGCGGGAAAACAGTGTCGCTCACATTTATATCAACAAGCTTGGGACATAATGTAGGTATGCTGTTCACACTACTTATTACCTGTGTTTATCTATTTTGGGATCCATCTTAATTAAAAGTCCTAGATTTGAAAGAAGAACCTCGAGTGTAGTTCTGCTGTGTATTTTAGAATGATAGGATATCCAAGCCAAAAGCTGTGGTTACAAGAACTTCCAATTCACCTTTACAGACTCTTTGCCTGAAAAGAGTTTTTTTTTCTTTATCTGCTTTAGATGCGCATAAACAAACCGGCGTGCATACAGAGCAGAACGAGCCAACGAGAGCCTAGAATCTGACATGCACGAATTATTTTTACAATACTACTTGGGTCAGACATGATAGCCTACTCTGGACCGCAGGATGTTCTGATGCAGGAGATAAAACAAGTAGATCACTATAATAAACGTAGCGTACTATTGAGTCTCAGTCATACTTTATTGTAAGAGTAGCCTATCTGAGAAAAGTTTGAGTGGTTTATCAGTAAGATGCTGCTGCTGCACACTAAAGGGTTCCTGATTATGGTTAAGTAGACTTAAATAATGTGGAATATAGGCTACTATATATTTCTATACCAACTAGTTTTTAGATGGACAAACTAACACAAAAACAAGGAGAGCGGGCTCTCTCTCTATCTCTCCCTCCCTCTCTCTCTGTCTGCCTCCCTCCCCCTCCCCCTTTCCCCCTCCTGTCCTGTGATGTGTTCTGGCCAGACAGTATGGCTCCTGGGCGTCAGTGGCATGATCATAGAAACAGAGGCCAGAAAGGACATTCCTCATTGTTGGTGAATCTAGAAATGAGCTTGGCCCATCTTGCCCTGCTCTTTCTCAGACAGTTTCGGTACCCGATTCATTTTCTCCATATAGAATAATAACCTTGGTGCTCAGCTTGTGGAAGAAAAGTTTGGTGCAGGCATGGTCTCTGTATCATTGTCCTGTCGATGCAGCCTCATTATCATGGAAATCCACCTCAGATTGCCCAGATTGTTAAATATGAGTAGTTTTTGGTTATGTGGTGTTTGCGGGTCTGCAGTCTTTGATTTCACTGCAGACCCGCTTATCTTCTTAGTGACTCTGGCTTAATTCCCCTTACAATTAAATCCAATGGTTTCGTTTCTACCTAACCTCTGAACTCTTTCTCCAGCCATGCATCTGTTTCAACTAAATTAGCAGTTAATACTGTCTCTCACTTCTCTTGCCAGATGATTGAAACTTGACCGGGCGTTCTGACTGTGTGAGGAATAACCTTCCCTGCAGGAGGCTTCGAATTCAGAGCTGCCCGATTGCTCCTGTGCCAACACAGAGAGGGGATTTAGAGTTTACGCTGCACTGGCAGGAGTTCAACTACTCCACCAGCGCTGCTCGGAAGTAACCGTGGAATATAAGAAACAGCCTCTGTTTACACAGACTCATAGTGCTACCTCTTTTATCCTTACCTCTGCCCTGGCCTCTCATTATTTGCCTCCTCACTCCTGTCCTCAAGGGAACTTTAATCCCTTTTACAGCACACATCAGCTCATCTCACCACCCATTTATCCATCTCATAATGAACTCCTCTACCTCCATTACATCCCTATTCTCCTTCACCAGCCCGGCGGTGAAGCGCCTGCTTGGCTGGAAACAAGGGGATGAGGAGGAGAAGTGGGCGGAAAAGGCTGTGGACTCTCTTGTGAAGAAACTAAAGAAGACGAAAGGGGCGATGGAAGAGCTGGAGAGAGCCCTCAGCTGCCCCGGACAGCCCAGTGAGTAACACAGTGTCAAACATTGAGTAGTAGTCTAGTCCAGAGGTAAGCTCTGACTGAGTCACAAGATAATAGGAAAGAAGACAAAACATTTTTCTGATTTTAATGTATTTAATATCTAATTTTTTGTTGTTTGTTGTGTAAAAACACAATACTTATACTTCTCTGGGTGTCTAAAAAGTATTCAAATGGAACAATTTGATAGAGAAAAAAGACACACATCTAATTGACACATTATGCAACATGTGACGAGAGGGTGTAGTAATACTTTATATTAGGGGTCATGAGGTAAAAAGGTTGAGAACCACTGTACTGCAGAGTTTCAGTTGCACTCAGCTTCAGATGATCTTGCAGCCTGCAGCCTTCCTTTTTAAAAGTGCACGAGAGGTAGTAACTGCATTAGAAATACTTTTCATACTCTAGATTGTGCTTATTTCTGTCTCCATGGTAGCAGATTTATCTCATCATGATTGTTTGCAAACAACAGAAATGTAAACACAACACAATATGCATTTTGTCGAGCTGCTTTGAGTTCCGTGCTGTTTCACTTGAATCCTTCAGGCAAGTGCGTGACGATTCCTCGGTCGCTGGATGGGAGGTTGCAGGTGTCCCACAGGAAGGGTCTGCCCCATGTCATCTACTGCAGGGTGTGGCGCTGGCCTGACCTGCAGTCCCACCACGAGCTGAAAGCCCTGGAGTGCTGCGAGTTCCCCTTCGGCTCCAAGCAGAAGGACATCTGTGTCAACCCCTACCACTACAGGCGGGTGGAGACTCCAGGTACACCTAGAAAACACTTTCTGTAAAAACAAAAAAATGTCATTGCTGAATTTTAATATCATAACAGTAAAGCTTTTTGTGGGTTCCAGGACATCTGATCTAATAAAGTGTTCCCAAGCCAAAAGGATTTGCAGTAATCTGATCTTTTATAACAGAATCTGGCTCTTGCTCTCTCTGCCTGCTACCTCACTACCTTTTTTCTTTCCTTTCTCTCGTCTCCTTGCAGTGCTGCCGCCAGTTCTGGTCCCACGCCACAGCGAGTTCAACCCTCAACACAGTTTACTGGCAAAGTTCAGGAACGCTTCCCTGCACAATGAGCCTCTGATGCCCCAGAACGCCACCTACCCGGACTCCTTCCCTCCACTGCCGTGCTCAACCTTCTCCTCCTCCCCTTCTTCCTCTCTCGCCCAGTCTCCCAACTCACAGAGTTACCCCGACTCCCCCAACAGCTCTGCAGAGCCTGGCAGTCCGTATCACATCACAGGTAGGAATCAAAACAAAGCAACCGGATACTTTCAGTGTTACCCTCTATGAGAAATATTCAAACACCTGACGGCGGGTTGCTTGGGTGACAGGTTACTTCAAATTGTGCAACCAAAGGAAAACTCTTTTTCTAGTGGACTTCTCATGTACAATTTATATAATAAAAGATCAATACTTGGGGGCTGTGTATCGATAAAATATTGCCACGTAAAATATTGTGATATTAAGCTGTATCGACTTTCCCCCCCGCTCTATAGTTGTAGTAGATTCTGAGTTCATTCTTGACCCCTCCGATGAGTGTACATCTATTACTTTTCCCATTTATGCCCTTCCTGTGATTTGTGACATGCTTTTTTCAGCTGAGACTCCCCCACCACCGTACACCATGATGGAGACGAGCCCTCAAGACGATGTGAAGCCCAGCAACTCCACAGAACCCATCAAACTCACATTTTCTGCTCCGCACAGAGGTAAGTTCACACAACTGGAGGTATACAGAAAGTAGAAATACACACAATTTAAGTGGTATTTATGCATAGTTAGTAACATGAGATGATGTACTGAGGCATATATACCTTAATGTCAGTGGTTGTATCAGCCACTGCAGGTAATGTTGCACGTCAATGAGTAGGAGTGCTATGTGTCAGAACTGGGTCACTGTGATACAGCATCTGGAATTAGATATATCACAGGATAGAATATTTTATCGATTATGCCCACCTGTTTAGACTTACGGCCCGTGTGTTACGAGGAACCAGAGTACTGGTGTTCCGTAGCTTACTACGAACTCAACAACCGGGTGGGGGAGACCTTCCACGCGTCATCCCGCAGCGTCTTGGTGGACGGCTTCACAGACCCATCCAACAACAAGAACCGCTTCTGCCTCGGCCTGCTATCCAATGTCAACCGCAACTCCACCATCGAACACACACGCCGGCACATAGGCAAAGGCAGGTACACTCTTTGGAATCATGTGGACTGTAGTTGACACACATTGGGTGAAAGCAAGAACTAACTGAGGGGAACATTGTTTGCTAAACATACAATTTCTCAACAAATTGCATGTCTTTGTAAAGAACCACCTCACTTCAGGCTTTACAATCAGCATGTCTGCTTGTGCTGAATCCTTCAGGCAGTGTAGAAAGTCCGCCTTTGTTGGATAGACACCAAGCGCCTCTGGGTTACACTAAACTGTGCGCTGTGAGGATGTGTGTGGTTTTGAATGATAGGGGTAACACAAAGGGCTGAGGGTAGTCGGTCCCCAATTCAGACACTTCTGACATTACTCAGACATTCCTCATTTAAAAGCATAAATGCCCTTGTGGTTGAAGAATATGAGAAAAACACAGCCATTTCAGCTGGTTTGCAATAAAGTGATTGGATATGTATATATTTGATTATATGTTTGCTATGTTTTCCTGAATGAAAGAGCTGTTTTATGCTCCTGCTGTGACATTTTAAGCATTTGCACCACAGTAGAAGGACATGGATTGGTGTTTTTTTTTCTACAAAATTCTACAAATTGAAGTTCACTTGCTCCTGAATTTACCATTTAAGACTATTTGATTTTCTCCTCCATTCTTCTCAGGTTTACACCTGTACTACGTAGGCGGCGAGGTGTACGCAGAGTGTCTGAGTGACAGCAGTATCTTCGTCCAGAGCCGCAACTGTAACTTCCAGCATGGCTTCCACGCCACCACAGTGTGTAAGATCCCCAGCGGCTGCAGCCTCAAGATCTTTAACAACCAGCTGTTCGCCCAGCTCCTCGCACAGTCCGTTAACCACGGCTTTGAAGTCGTCTATGAGCTCACTAAGATGTGCACCATCCGCATGAGCTTTGTTAAGGTACTAAGCTTTCTTGTAAAATTATCAGGAACTTGTAGTGACAGAAATGCAGTTGATCATCCTTTTGCCCACATTTCTGTTCAATACCATCCATCCATCTTCATACGCTTATCCGGGGTCGGGGCGTAGGGGCAGCAGCTCCAGTAGGGGATCCAAAACTTCTCTTTCCCAAGCCACATTAACCAGCTCTGACTGGGGGATCCCGAGGTGTTCCCAGGCCAGTGTGGAGATATAATCTCTCCACCGAGTCCTGGGTCTTCCCCGAGGCCTCCTCCCAGCTGGATGTGCCTGGAACACCTCCCTAGGCGTCCAAACCACCTCAACTTTATCCTTTCGACGCAAAGGAGCAGCGGCTCTACTCTAAGCTCCTCGCGGATGGCCAAGCTTCTCACCCTATCTCTAAGGGAGACACCAGCCACCCGCCTGAGGAAACCCATTTCGGCCGCTTGTACCCGCGATCTCGTTCTTTCGATCATGACCACTGGTGAGGGTAGGAACCAAAACGGCAACATCTTTGCATACACTTCCAGTTACGATTGGTCGAAGTACTACAACCCCCAGAAAAAGAACTACATCTTCCTGAGGAACGCTGAAAAGGAGCTGAAGCCTCGGGAACAAGAAATGATTCATTGTGCCAAATCGCATCTCTTGTGGGGAAATGGGGAAGATAAGCTGCTTTAGTGTGTTTATACACCCGAGACAGACTCCTTCCTTTCGGGCAAGCACCTGGACCAATGCCGTGGTGTTGCGTACTGTGCACGGAACAAGGGGCCTACCCAACCTGGTGCTGAAAACCTCTGCGTGACATTGGTCTTAGAGGTCATTGTAGAAGGGGAGGGCTTAATTTGGGATTCATCTTGGTGTTTCAGGTTTTTTTTATTGTGTCCAGCTCTTCATTTTTTTTATGGATGTTTAATACCCATATGGCTTAATAAGAAGGGTTGGGAGTTTATCACTGTAACTTAATATGCTGTTATTTTTTCTTTAATGTGCTTTTGAGTATGTTAAATCCTACTACCAGTATACAAGGCCAGCGTACACTTGTTCACTTAGCACCCATTAATTTTACTAGTTAACTGAACTCCCAACAGTCACAGCTGAGATTTATGTTTGTGTCCTCCCCTCAGGGCTGGGGTGCCGAATACCACCGTCAAGATGTGACCAGCACCCCCTGCTGGATCGAGGTACATCTGCACGGGCCCTTGCAGTGGCTGGACAAGGTCCTCACACAGATGGGTTCCCCGCACAACCCTATTTCTTCAGTGTCATAACATGAACACAGATACACACTTCTTAGTGTGTGCTGTTGGTCCTTCACACAGGTAGTCATAGATTCTGAATGTTTTGCTACTTCCAGGTTTTCTGTCCTATCGTCCCTCTCTTCGCATCTCAAAAAAATTACAAAAACATGCTTTGCTGTGTAACTGAAACACATGATTGACTGAATTTCATTTAGCCAGTTTACAGCTCATGCAGTTAAATGATCATGCCTTCCTTATTTCAGTATATAATAAAGCTTTTATCCTCTGTGTTTTCATTGGGACATTACCTGCACTCCAAGATAAAAAAAATGGGATACATTTGTAGGTACTCAAAGACTTGTGTTACTGTATATTGTAAATGTTATTACGGTAGTATGTACTGTCCATATGTTGCCTAATGTTTGACTCTATGTGCCGGTTGCTTTTTATGTGTCACATTAAAGTTACATTTTCTTTAAGAATCTAAATTTTTGTAAGATTTGAACTTACACAGCTATTATTTCCGCATGTTCATCAAACTGCAATACAAACACACACAGTTAGCGTCATAATTTTACTCTCATTCACAGTAAGGGGTATACACTTCAACTGAAAAACACAGGAACAACACACAGTACATGACTTATTAATGCCACTTTTCAACACAGAGCCAGCAGAGCTAGCATGTACAAGATTCTTCGCACTAAACTTAATTACTGTTTATACAGTTAGAATTCACCATTTGTGCAGCGTTTTCAGATAAACAGGGATATAAAATATTGTTTAAAACATGTCTTGAACACCCCGCTTGACAGAGACAAGGCTACAGACATGCGTTGCACAACTGATTGTCACATGTAACAACACTTCATGTTGAAGAGGAAACATTAAAAACACAGAAGATCAATCATTCCTAAGAGACAACAGCCTGAAAAGTAACACACGCGATACTTAAACACACAAAGAAACTGTAATGTTGTTAATGTTAACAACAACTATAATCCAATGCCTTCATTATTAGTGCCACATAGAAAAAGATAATTAACAAAAAGAATATAATTTTGGAGAGTAACTAAAAAGTAATTAAAAAGAAATGTTGGCTTGTATGTAGGAAATTATATTTCCTCAACAGCACCAGGCATGGTTTGATTATATTGTCTGCTACTTGAGAAATGTACGCCTTTTGAGGGATTTAGATCAGTTCATCTAGTTTCGTCCACCAGTCTCACCGCACCTTTAAAACATCCCATGTTCTTGTTTCTTCTGTGTGGTGGCAGTCTGGCTGGGGAAATTCATGGTTACAGTGTACGGTTACAATCCATTTATCAATGAGGTGCCAGTTCTTCTTCACTGTTGTTCTCTATTCATTCCAAAACACAGTGACCAGCCGGTGTCAGCAGCCCTGGAACTGCTGCTGTGATTGGCTGCGGCCCTGTGTGGCTAGGAGCTGCTGCTGCTGCTGCAGGAAGCTGATGACCTCTGGACTCCTGAGCAGGGACTGTGGGACACACACATTAAAATTTCACAGCAAAATACGACAAATATTGCTGTTGATCCAATGCGTACCTGTCTTTTTCTGCCTTTGTAGGGAAGAGAATGCCCTTTACCAAAACACCTCTATACATAAAAGGTCATATTATGCTCATTTTCAGGTTCATCATTTTATATATGAGTTGTACCAGAGTAGGTTTACATTTTTTCATTTTCAAAAAACACCATATTTTTGTCATACTGCATATTGCTGCAGCACCTCTTTTCACCCTGTGTGTTACTGCTAGCAAGTGAAGCATCTCACTTCTACTTGATAAGGATTACTAGCCAATCAGAAGCAGAGTAGGGTGGGTTCTGGGAAAGACACAATTCCTATAAAAGGGTTAATTACTTTGCATATTCCCAAATCAGGGAACATAGTGGCAAACACGCCACATTATGTCATCATTTGATATAAATGAATGGTGCCTACTCACTGTGTCTCTTGCAGTGACACTAACTGCTCAAAGCTAACTGCTGAAAAGTGGCGAGGGTGTCGGAACTTACAGGTTTGCTATGTGCTAACTGCAGAAAATGTGTCCTCTTACATTTAATCTTTTATGTACGATCTTTTAATATTATTATTATTATTATTATTATTATTCTCGTTATGGCTTATAGATATATGTATTGTGTTTTATCCTTAACCTTTCCTCTCCTATACTCCTTATGTTAGTCCGTCCACATTTACTAGGGTTTAGGTCAGAGCTGTGAGATTGTTTTGGTGTTTTCGTCTCCTGTTGTTCCTCTCCTCTCCTGGAATGTTCATTCAAGGCCGAGAGAGGATCTCTGTTCCCCAAAACATAGAAACCTAGACTGTGTAAATGATGATGTATCCCTTTGCTCGGGGCAAGCCGCCCGAAGCCGCCCTAGGCGTCAGGTCTCTGGACCCAGCTGTATATGTGTTATAATACTTCTCTGTTTATTCTCTTTTGTTAAATAAATACTTCAAAGACACCAGTTGGTTGTAACTCAATTATTTGCTCAACCCCTCACCAGGACTATAACTTCCATGACACTAACAATGCAGGCATTAGCAAGGCCCAACAAGTAGCCGCTGTGTACCGCTGGAGCATTTTAGAACCTTGTGGTATTCAACGGCTTTCACCCCCATCGTGCTTAACATGAACATAACTACCTCTGAAACCTCTCTTCGTTAAACGTGCATCTCCCCGACGGATGATAACGAAATGCGAAACGCAAGCCAGATGTCAACCTCTGCAGCTAAAGTACACGTACCATAAAACTTATATTAATGGCGGGGTCTCGCATTGTCTAATAATAAGTTAATCAAACAAATACACGCGGACTAGACATTACATTTTACGTGTTCATTTTCCCACCAGTCATAAACATGCCGCCAGCAAATTTAATACCCACAGACAATTTACAGAAAATTGAAGACAATTTACCTTCATTTCCCTGATTTTAAGACTGTTTTAAGGAGCCAGGGAACCCTGTGTCACTGTGTGCTGCAGCTTAGTGTGAGACGTGTTACAAAGAGACGCAGATAGGTTACGGAAGTAAAGACTGTACTACACTCGACCTGTTTTCAGGAAGTTCAGCAGCAGTGTTTTCTGTGGGAGATGGTAAGACTTTGGACTTTTTCACTTTGAAACCTATTACATGTACACAAAAAAGATATATAACACAATAAAGGAAAGGGAAAAGGCCAAAAAGCATAATAAGACCTTCAAAATCTGATGCTTCCCAGTCTGGGTGGAAGAACAGAGCAAACACAATGGCTGTCAAACCTGTTCACTTAGATACATAGCAGATGCATGCAAGTTATTTGAATACAGCCATGCTCTACAATGTGGAGCAACATTAAAAGGCTCTCTTATCTCGAGAAAAAGACAGCAGCGAGAGTCTGGACCGTTACAAACAGATGGATGACATATTAAAGGAAACCCTTCGATACATTAAAGGGGGAAATCAACAAATGCAGATGCATTCTCACATGAAGGGGGCATTTTCCTGTCATGGCATGGGCCCACTTCTCCCCTCAAAGGAAGAGGTCACTAAATCGTTTGGTGAGTATGAAAATTATGCAAATCATAGGGCACACTTACAGTTCTGGAGGCTGGCTTATAAAGATGCTTTAAATTGTTTTCCCCCCTATAATTTGTTACCCATCTGTAGTTGCATCATGTCACAATCGGTCCATCTGACCAGCTTACCAGTCTTTTCTGGTTGAGGACCTGCTCTATCAAGGAGGGTCTGGCTGGCCGGTCCCCCATGGCACCCAGACGCTGTTTGTTCACAGACACGGGCCGCTCCTCTGAGTTTTCCTGATTAGCACAAAGAAAGACAAAAACAAGCAATTAACTGGGCCAGTTTTGTTTGTTTTGTGGTTCAGTAAAGTCTGGAAAAACTGGGCCAGGGAACCACATGCGCCAATAAGTTCAGCCCTTGTAATGTCAACTGCATTGAGGGTTACACCCCTCAAATTCCTTTCTCCTTCAGTCATCTACGTGTAGACATGTGTAGTAATAAAAGTGTACTTTAAGGTTTGTAATGTCTCTACCACATCATGTTGAGTTGAAATGAATACCTCGATGTATAAAAGTATGTATGGAGCTTAAATCTTACATCAATTTTTCCACTGGACATGGCCTGATCATTCTTCTTCTTCTTGTACTTGTCTTTGTACATTTTGTTGCGGTGCTTTTTGCACATCCACGGTTTCCTCTGCTTGGCCACCTGCGTTGTGGTCTCTGTGCACCCCTCGTAGGTGCACTGTTTGGGAGCGTTGTCGCCCTCTGAGGTCTCCTCGTCGTTGAGCTCCTCCGGGCTGGCGGCGCTGTCTCTGGGATCTGAAGTGTCCAGGACGTCGCTCTCCTCGTCCGGATCATCCATGTCGTAGGAGGAGACGTTGTTCTCTGGTTCGTGCGGCGTTATCACATTCCTGCTGTCGACTACTCCGCTCTTATTCACGTAGTACCTTTGTCCGTCTTTAGTGAGCAGGAGAGTCGACTCTTTGTCCTTATTTGCTGATGCTGAATTGTCATCTTCGCTCATGATTGCGGTGGACAAATACTTGTTAGCTAGCTAGCTAGCTAGCTACCATCCCTTTCCAATCAGTTCACGTTAGCTAACTTAGTTAGCTAATACAGCTATTAGTTGACATTTGCTCATCCACAAGTCTGTATTAGTATGGGTTTAAGTTCTGCTCTATGAAGGCGGTGTGTCATAAATGGTCCATGATTTGGTAAATAAAGCGAATGATTTCAAGCGGGCTACTGTGATACTTACACAGGATTAGTCTGTCACTGCTCTCGCTGCATTTCGAGAACGAGGATTTTCTTCTTCGCTGCATTGGTTTCATGTGTTACCATGACCCCTAGTGGTCAAAATAAAACATACACGCATAACCTGCTGATATGTAAGTGTGGTGTGACTTGCTGTGGGTGCTTATTAGTAGTATTATTACTGTTGTCATTTAATATTCTCCTAAAATCTATCAATTAATATAGCCTACAGATCAGTGCTTTTTAACTGCATTATTGTTATTTGTACAGCACACTGAAATTGTGAAGCCTATGTTGATTGTATTGTAAAATAAAAAACACAAAAAACAAACGGCTGCTTTGTGTGAAGTTACACAACACTCCAATTAAATTAACCTACATATTCTGAAGTGTTAGACACACACAATGTGACAGAGCAACATAGTGCACCTCACCTTGTAGCTGTGTTCTACTATTATCCACTTGATAAAAGGATAGGATACATATATGTTTCATCACTCAACGCTCCTCCAAAAGCATCCTCTCTCGCTCCTCATCTCTTCTAGGTGCCGGGGAAGGATTTCAGGGTCACGGGAGGAGAGAGGACGTGAGGAAGCCTAAGTCAGCAAAATGAAAAGCACCCTGTGTCTTCCTCATTGAAAGTACCAGAGAAACCCACTTGCAGCAGCACATTACACGCCATCATGCTCACCCATCCACATCATACATCACTGATGTTATTGACTTACACACTCAATAATTTCGTTAATTTCTTTTTTAAAACATAAACTACTTTTTCTAATGTATGTAATTACTGTAATGTGAACCAACAACTGTAGTGTAATTTACCTTTATAATTAGATAATATTTGTCATTTGTAATAAGTTCTACTACTGCATACTTTCAGCTACAGGCTTTATTCAAACTTTAAATTCAGCAAAACTATCAACTATTAAACCTGTAGTCGGCTTTTTACAGTTTGCATCATTTAGAGTTTTTGAATTACCAAAGTTCTGCGATGGACTGGGGACCTGTCCAGGGTGTACCACGCCTTTTGCCAAATGTCAGAGAGTTAAAGTTAGAGTTTTATGCTTTTTTCAGTCCTTTTATCAGTGTCCAATGGGTGTGTATTGCACTGCTGCACCCAATGATCCTCATCTGCTGTTCTCCTTTTACCAAAATGTCTGACAAACTTTGTAACCTCCACAACTTCCAATTTTTACATCGGAATGTAGACTTCTTCCTCTTTTACACAATGCCAACATTTAACCATTATGACTTACCTTGAGATCATGTGGTGGTGGAATAATCAGAAAAATGCTGCTGGGAAAATTCTCTTGAATGACCCCTCAAGTTTGAACAACAGCACTTGGCACAGGACTTGCCAAGTGGACGTCATAATACGCAGAAACATTACAGACAAAAGTAAATGCTTTTGATTAACTCACGTATTGCATGTCAATGTTTTGCTCACATTTAATTTGTAATATGGTGTTAGTTTGTAGGTAATGTATAAGGTGCCGGGTGGCCCGCCAACAATTTTTATAATTAACAATGTGTGAAACTGGTTTTAGGCAAAAGTTCACATACACCTGACCTGAAAGCCTTTCTAACACATGGTTAACATTGTGAAATGTTTTAGGAAATACAACTACTTGGTTAGGTTTAGGAAAAGATCATGGTTTGGGTTAAAATAATATGACACTATTGATTTTTGGTTTTACACGGGACACAAACAGCAGTCTCCAGTGTTTGACCCATACATCCGTCTACCCTGACCTCCTCCCTACATGGACTTTGTCACTGGCCCGCCTCAGGCCTCCTTCCTTTTGCAGAAGTGTCCCCTGTGCAAAGAAGTATCCCATCAATAGGCTCTTTTTGATCCTACTAAAATATTTCACAGGCTGACAGGAGAATTACTCCTAATATAACCCAAATAATCACTACAAAAACCAACAGCGACACATCTGTTGTTTATTGATTATTCAGACAGTGGTTACAGGGCGACCATGTTCTATGGGCTCATCACACTGCCATCAGCCACCACTGAAAAGAGGATGAAAATGACTGAATGCATTTTCAAACAGATTTGAGAAGAGCAACATTTGAGAAAGCTGAAAGTTTAGAAAGGTGGACAGCTTTTCTGGGGGCAGAGATATTTTATAGTTACCTAAGTGTCACTGAAAGTGTTGGCAGACCTACAATGTCTCCAGTTGGTATAGTGTTGCTACAGGTAAGAATAGAAATAAAATGTCAAGGTCTGGGAATATGCCTGGCAAGATCATACACAAAGCACAGAGACAGCTGTCTGAGATCCTTATTTGCTCTGTAACAGGCAGAAACCTATGAAGCACACAGTGGAGAGGTCCTCGTATTCTTTTTTTCCCCCATTAAATTCATCAGGCTATCCTCTGGAAGGGAATATAATATATATAATACAGGACATACTATTATCTGCAACCATGGTGAAGCCAAAATAAATTTCCATGGAGAACTGGGCCTTCAAAAGGTCCCTCTACTCCATCATACCATGTGTACACTGAGCATCTGCCCTGTCAAGTACAGAAAATTTCAAATCCCACGTCTCTGAACACAACTGCTGTAAAAGCTATAAAAAAAAAAAAAATACCTTAGCGGGATGACTTATTTATAGGACAAATTTACAGTTAAATAAATCTGTATCTAGCAAACTCAGACATTATGAGATCCTTGGTGGTCCATGCTCACAGGAGTTGTGTACTGCATGTCTGGCCAGCAAATCCAGTCATGTAGCAAAAGGACTGCAAGGATTCTAAACTCTACAGACTGATGTTTTGAAATCTTACATTAACTAAACACATTAAAGCCCTACAAAAGACTCTAACAATTTGTTTTTGAAACATGTTTTAATTATTACCATAATTATTGATAGACCATTGTTGAACAGGAGGTACAGGTATTTGTATTGCAACAGATTGTAATACTGTGGTGCAGCTGTGAGAGCACTTTGGTAAACCACATGTGCCCATGTGCTGGAGAGTATGGATTTCAACAGCACTAAAAAATCATACTGATCTGGTCAATATGGCGGCACATTACTGTATATGTGTGATGAGAATAAATACAGAAACCTATAGACAAGTAGGACAACTGCAGGGAGATCATCTGTAAAAAATAAAAAATAATTAAATATGTGAAATCTAGCTTCTCTCATTTATCTTACATCAGTTACTGGAAATCTCTTTACCAGTTGCTTTTGCAAAGGAAGTGACATCATTCCCAGCATCTGACAAGAAGCAAAGATCTCTTCTTCTACTACTCTAGATTTGTCTTAATAGTTTCATCCAGTTGGTACAACACAAGTCGAAATGTGCTTCTTCAACTCAGCTGTATACTGAATATCAACCTGATGATCTCCTCTGAATTATTTTTTTATTTACTCACTGACGGATACACACATATGACTGATTTTTTTTCTTTTTACAGTCCTCATAGACTTACTACTAGTAAAGAAATATACTGTATTGTGAACTATCAAAATAAATGAAATTATGTTATTTACATAACATATAAACAATACTTCATCACGAAACTGTTTTTTTTATAAGAATAGGCTACTGTATGTCTGTCATGCTTTCATCTGAATAAATGAAGCCATGAATGAGGTTGTACAGAGCTGAAATAAATCCTCTTATATCTTTTTACCTGTACTGCTTTCCAAGAGTGCTGCTGGTTCTCCGGCATCCACACTGTCGTTCTCTCAGACCTGTTTGACTGCACGTAGACTGCAGTACTTTGTGCAAATAGGCATCTCTCATAAACTGTTAATTGTATACATTAAACCTTTCTCCAAACCCATAGTGGTACACAGTGGTACACCTGGGCTGCCACAATCCTACCTTTCTTTACTGCTGGAATATGTGGATAAAATATGTCTTTAGTGTTGGAAAGAAAATTGTAAACAAGGCTTTCTATGTTAATGAGCATCAACACAACATAACATGATTAACATGAAATCAATACAGAATGACTGCGGAATTGAGGAACACATGTGATGCTGAGTTTGCTACACAAGCACCTGAATGCTGCTGAATTTTGTGTATCAAGATGCCATTAATGAAGCACTTAACAAAATGACAAGGAGGAATCAAATGCACCGTTATTGTCTTAATGTAAAATGTAAACTGTAATACTGCAATCCAACATTACAGGAAGGCAACGCCAGTACTGTGTGGAGCACAGCATTATAGCACAAGTGCTGTCATTTATCTTTTTCAGTGCACCCTGTTTTTAATCCATTTGTAAGAAAAACACCTTTATCTACATACTGTAGCATTAGCGTTACACTGTTTATCAAGTCTATGGTAGCCTACTTCAAAATTTTTGAGCTCTGCCTCTACAAACTCTTTCCATTCTTTTCGTCTGTCAAGCTCTGAGGACAAATCAACAAAAGGATACCCTTCATGAAAAGGGGAAATACATATAAAAAAAAATGCAGTGAATCAAGAATGAATTAATAAGGTTCAATAAAACATGAACATTGGTCCATATTCTCATATTGCCCTGTAGAGCTGCTCCACCATAAGGAAGTTTCCATGTTGAGCCCGGATCATCACTGAAGGGTAAACAATACTGTCACCCTTTCTCGCTCCTTGAGCTCTGCAACATGTGCTCAGATGAGAGAACATTAAAAAGAAATAAATGTAAAGTTTTTCCCCTCATTATGCCTTTTCCCTCTTTCTCCTGATCTCTGGTTCCTGTTGCCTCTTTAGTCTTTCTCCCAACCTCTCTACCCTCTTTGTTTCCGCTCGC